CGCCAGAGAGAATGCAACTGCATCGTCCTGGGGCAAAGTTAGCCATTGGCTGCAGAGGTTAATCGCGACGATTCGTCTGAATATTATCACGTCAGCATAAAAATAAGCTGAATAATTCAATTTCGATCTAACGTCGATAGGCGTACACAGACTCGGAGGTCCCAGTACTCCCTGTTCAAAGAGAGAATATATTTTGACTAGGTGGTTGATTCATGACGCGGTCGTACTCTTGAAAACGTAAGAAGAGAAGCATCCTGAAAGGGACACCGTGCTCGCTGTCGGAGATTACCAACCGAGAGGATCCTCTTAACAACTGTTGGCCGATCTAAGGGCTCGCGAGGCTGGATATGTCCCGAGCGGACCGTGAATACGAGTCGTGGTACGCTCGTAAAAAGATGACTCGGTGACAACCGCTATGACGCGAAATTTACGACGCCGAGGTCGTAGCCCAGGTCGAATCGTGAACACCGCGGGACAAGTTGTCGTTGACGTTAGCAAAAACCTTCCCCCCGTCGCGTCCTCACCTCTGCGCCATCCACGTCTATCTCTTAGAACGAGACGTTGAACGGTCAGCATTCGTCAAACATTCGTCTCTGTTCACCAATTTATTTTCCGGTTAGGAATAACGGTTAGAAGAGCGATCGCCGGTCACGAGACGGTCGTAGGATAATACGGAACGTCCGAGCTAGAATTTTGAATTGCAAAGAAGAGTTTAGGACCGGCTAATGTGGTAGCTGTGTCTATCGAGATTAAGACACTTTTAAGATGGATGATGTGACAAAGTATTGATTTATGGTCTCATCGTAATCGACCGGACCGGTGATAATAATTCGTTAGAGTTCTCGTGTTAGTAGCAGCGACCGTTCCCATTGTCATTCGAGGCGATATTAAAGCGACCGAGCTTTCTCCATCACCCATACATAGATATACCTGCCGCGTTGTCCGATGTCTCATTAATATTTCAATTACCGACCACCATCTATGATCTAACAGCATCTCAGAGCGAGTAGAACGACCGATAAGTTTTGTCATTGTGGTCGACGACATCTTGGTCAATCGCCAGACAGCATTCCTATCAAAATTCCGAAACAGATTTGTCGCAATAGAACGATTAGTATTAACGTTTCTCTTTACGACAACGTAATCCATCGTCGCGAATTGTACAAGAGGATTTCAACGGTTCTGCGGCTTCGTCGCGCTATTATTCGCATTATGACTGTTATTACGATTGTAATACAATGCGAAATCGGTGTAAATCAGTGATTAGAAATGAAAATTTAACGAACTTCCTGTATTTCTTGATCGATGAGACGAGGCAATTTTTCATCGACGTTGCACCAAGGCAACAGGTTTCTATTATTACCATAATAAAAAATGAGGACTACATCGATAGCATCGTGCGTTAATTATGCACGGTCGATCTGCATCGTTAACTTTGCGCACCGTTGAAGATCGAGCACCACGGCGATCGAAATTAATTTCAAAAGAGAGTGTTTTATGCGAGCCGCGATTCGAGAGTTATACGAAGTCAAGCTGGACGGCTTTCAAAAGTACTGCGCCTTGAATTTAAGGATCCTTCACGGACGAAGGAAACCTTAAACTCACTTCGCCGGCCCCCATGCGATATTTTAAGGTTCGCGCGTTTTTTTCATGAGCGCGACATCAGGAACCGTAACCCCGTGACCCCGGCAACGCGAGGAGGATAAATCGTTCGTGGATGCCGTGAAGAAAATTCGAGGAGGGCCTTTAACCGACGTTGAAGACGACTTTTTGTCCTCCTCCAGCGCGTTGGATGCAGGTCTCCGTTTTAATCGGTTCCCCTACGTAATTAATTGGCCACGGTAACGAAGTACGTGTAGAGGATGCCTCGCGAGACTCGACGCCGGATTTACGAACATTTATCATGTATTAATTAAGCGATTAGTCCAGCGTCGCTAACGAGAAGCTAGCGTGTGATGGAATTTTCTTTGGCTCGCGTCTAACGCCGCCGGGCAATTTCTATCCTACGGCCGCACCGGTCCCTACCAATCACGATAATCGCATTCTAATTCAGTTCATTACAAATGTGGATACATTATATCATGCTTTCTCAATTACTCCACGATCTGTTACACGCCACTTCGCGCCATAAATTGGTCATTTCGAAACGTCTATTCCCTCGCGGTCGAAATTATTACGCGATGATGAAGCAGTCAGCTGGCGTTCGTTTATCGAACTATAAAAATGATTAATGGGCACTGTTTTCTCTCCTAGTGCATACCTTTAAAAGCATCCCAACTATCTTCGACCGAACCAACGATGCGACTACAAAGAATCGAATTTTCTATTTAACGAATGGTTTTATTGCGAAGATAAGGATTTATGTTCGTTAAGGTACGGACAGTAACGCGTGCATTTACGATTGTTGTTCGAAGGATCTACAAAGTACTACCTACCGATAACCGAACGTTTTATCCAGTATGAAGGGTCGGCAATCGTTACACTTTATGTCTGTATATACGCGTTCAAATGGCAAGCGTGGGTGGCAAAGAGAAAAGACACAGGTAGGTTCACGATAATGCACGACGCGGTGCACGCTTCACGCAGGTTGATAGACGAGGTCCTTTCAGAACCTATCAGTCAATACTAGAATCTCTAGTGTCCAAATACCAATTAGGGTAGTTCTACTGTATCTCCCTCTGAGGAAAAACAGTCCTATCCGGGAAAATTCGCGCGCGAAGGTGATTTCTTTTTTTCGGGTCGCGTGGGTGATCCCCTGTTCTGGTTTCGCAAGACACCCGTTGCAATTGCTCGGTGACGATCCGCCCCCACGATTTTCTCCGTGTTACCGCGGGAGGAACCCTAAGCTCTATGAGGGACATTACATAGCGGTGAATTTCGCGTAGGTTGCATCTTGTCGCCTGGTGAAGCGTGGCGCCACCGTGGCGGGACAATACGCGCGTTACACCGATGCCACGCGCTCGTTTTACAACTTGCACGCCACATTTCTACGTGTTACAGTTCCACGTGAGGCCCGTTTATCAAACTGTTGCGCAATCCTGTCGCGAAATTGATCATACAAAACGCTCCGTTATAACCGTTGCCCCATTATTCCAAAGCGTTCAGAGGCGTAGGCATTGGCGTAACTGACGATAAGCTGGGGACCAGGGTGGGTTTGTCCGAATGAAAATTGATTCCCTTTTCCAGAAATTATCGAAGCAAGTAAAGAAACATTTGTAAAATAACTATTTCAGCTAAAGTGCAATATTCCTTTATTATTTTGGTAAAAATAAAGGAACCTGGCCCACCCTCAACTGGAGACCTAGTTACGCCAATGGGCGTGGGTCGAGTCGGGACCGATTCGAGTAATTCCCCAACGCAACGGCATTTTTCATTCGCCACGATCAATAATGCTTCCCGATCAGATTGAACCGTTCACAAAGAGCCGATTCAGTACTGATAAAATTATCAGAAAGAAAGATGATGGCGATTTCGTCGATAATGGACAACGAAGAGGTACCGTTGTAACCGCACCGAGACCGAGGATCGGTCTGAGGGTGCCGTGATCGTGATCGATGTAGATCATTCCCTCCATCTATCCACGGCAATCCATGCCGGCCACTCTTCTATGTCTCCACGGTACTATACGTGTATTTGTATATACATACATAGCAACTTATTCGAACGCGATCCGTTTCCGGGTCACGCCGTGGCAGGTTGACGCCGGAGGTACCTATACGCTATTGTCCCTCGTATCCGATATCTCGATTCCCTCGCATCGATTAGCATTGATTTGTGAATTATCGATAATAGCGACAGAAAGAAGATCGAACGGTGCACCTTTCGTTTGATTCGAATTTTTAACCCCTAAAGTTGAAGGAAATCGAGCTCGAGGAAGTAGTTTCATTTGAAGAAGAAGCGATCTAGGGTTCAAGTGGAGACCATGGTGCAACATGTTTATGGTTCGACCATTACGAAAGGAAATTTTCATTGCTGTTACGTGTCCATTGTGTTCCCACGTACGTTATGCTTTATTTTATCCAATTCAACGTGGCTACGTTAGAAGATACGAAAATGAAATTAGAAAGGCAAGAATTGTGCTAAATAAATAAGTTTCTTCCATGTTCCTTTTATCGAGCACAATGAAAGCTGCTCCAAACCTGGCTTTAATTGCATAGAAAGGATTTCTAGCGAATCGATAAAGACACCTGCGAGCAACAAGAGCTGCAGCTATCCGAGTCTTCCAGATTACGTAACGATTCATGCCTAACCGAGTGTGGGACTCGTTGTATTTCAAGCAGTGTACGTCGAGAGACCCTTAGATTCGAATCTCTCTTCGGCCAGTAAAATCGTATAAACTGCAAAGATACGATCTACATCGGCCACGCCTCGAGAGAAGATCGAACTGTCTCTACCGTATACGTCGAAACAGTTTTTGACGTATCCACGAGGAATTAGCATAAGGTGCGTCTCGTGGGTTTATCAAGAGTCAATACCGCCATTATTTTGCGTAGAAACATGCTGAATAACGGAAACCATCACTCTGCACTGACGTTGGACAATAGTGGTCCCGTGGCAGAATGATTCCTTATAGGATCTCGATATCCTATGTAGTTACGGGTAGACTCTAGAGGTCTCCCGTTACTCTACCAAGAGTTTTTGAATAAATAATTTAAACAATGTGAAAAGCTACCTTTGTTCTATTTTGAGAAAATCAAAGGAGCTCTGAAAATTAAAGGTTTTGGATGATGGAACAGGAAAAGTCTATGAATGTTTTGAAAATTTAAACTAAGGTCGATGCTAAGTGGAAACTTCAAAAATTATGTTTCTAACAGGATCCTACTCTATCTGTGATTGGTAAGAGCGATGGCGGTTTTCAGGTACCCACTGAAAATATACAGAAATCGCCCTTACCCTTATTCACAGCTGATTATAAAGAGATCCAACTATCAGATGTTGCAAATATAGAAAAATATTTTATCTGCTGGATAATATACAAAATAAACTTATTCGAACCAACTATAGGTGGCCAACGACAAACGCTCATTCGACCACGTGAGGGGCGTCGTGACATCAGGATTCAAACAACACCCAGAAAAATCCTTAATTCTCCTCGATTAAACGACAACGTTCCCAACCCTCCATAAATCAATCAATCACGAGTTTCAATTCATTCCTTCACCATCGTGTGTACAATGCGTGGAGCATATTTCCCGCATGAAAAGCAGTCATTCGAGAAGTTGTACAGTGTTCGGCCATTTTGAAACTATACACAACCGACCATTGGGACAAGTGTGAAAGTAAAATCAGACGCTTGGCGTCGAAGTTCCCTGGCTCAACAGTCGAGAGAGGTGAGAACACGCGGAGACATCCGGTCTGTACATACAGATTCCACTCATGTAAGTAAATAATCATCTTTTCTCTGTCTACAGTGTACATACGTGCGGCTGTATTACCGATCGGGCCAACGGGATGCCGGTATGATTACAAAAATAAAAAGGAAACCGTCTAAGCTCGTTGTTTCGAGAGATTTTCAAGGATAGCTAGGTGGGTAGATACTCATCGTTCCTATGAATGATGTAAGGCTAGTCTAGCATTGACTTTCACCGATTCTTTTAAGGAGACACGCTGACGATTGTGTGGGTGTAGGGGTAAGCGTGTTAGTGCGACACAAAAAGTACACGCTGAGTAGGTGAGGTCGTACACCTACACCACTCGCACAGGTGGTTCCTCCTCCATTCACACTCCGTAAAGCGAGTGAACGAGTTCGTCTCAGGGAAACCCGGCTCATTTTCACCGCGATGCTCAACGCGATAATGGATTACGTCTTCTCCGTTAAATACTCGGTATCGATCGTGCTGATGTTCATCGTCGCCGATATTTACGCTAATTACACGGACATTGATCTGCCGGCTGATCACGTCAAGTACTACCTCAACGCTTTTCCCACGGTAGCCGAAGAGTGCCGCAATGATACCGCCTGTCCGTACAAGGTAACACTAGGTACAACTAATAACGCAAGCGTTAAGAATCATCGATTGTCTCATTCGCGAAGGGCACGTATTAATCGAAGAATTTTTCTTTTGGAAAAACTTAGGATAGTCTTGATACCAAAGCTTGCTGGGGTTACGAGCCGAATTGCAAAACCGAAAATTCTTTCTCCTTTCCTCAATGTCCAGGTGACCACAGAGGATGGGTGACCACGAAACAGGCTCAATTAGAAACGTTTTACGCTCAAGGGGATTTCGGCTACGTGCGCGACCAAAGGAAAGAAATGTCCATCTTCTGCGAGCCTTTATTCGTGGCAAGTTTCGTTCGTAAATTAATTAATCGTGAAAGAAACCCATGAAATTCATAGGTGCAATGTTTTCGATTGAAGGACGATTCCTCGTTAGAATGCTCGGAACACATGAGATTCTGTCGCGCAAGGAACATCATGATCAATTTCACGGAACTGATACGAAGAAACGAGCCTATACGATACAAAATGGATGTTTTGAAAGAGGGTGAAATCGGTGGATTCTGCACGTGAGTGAACACAGAATTAAAGGATGTATCGTGCGTTTCGAACGAATCATATTTTTGCGATTCAGATTGAACGAGAAAAGACTAAACGAGAACGCGGATCACATCAGTCCTCTGCAGTCCTGGGGACCTGAACTGAGAAATTTTCGAAAACTACCTCGACCACCGATTGTCAATGGTGACTGTGATATCGTAATCGAGAAACCTACGTATATAATGAAGATAGACGCCAGTAAGTCGTAAGAAATGATTTGATAATGATCGATTTCGACGAATATGAAAATCAAGGGTTTTCTGGTAAAAAATAGTCGATTTAAATCTGTGGCAGAGAAATCTTTCGATAGGAACAATTGATCCGTTGCTTTCGTAATACCACAACAATGGTACACTTTTTGTTTATGACCCATGAAGTTTCACTTCTAGAAAACCGGCGTGAAGGAAATGAATTTATATTGGCTATTTCTTGTCAGGATACCCTTTATATCCGGCATCCACTCATTTGTCGAAGTCGTTCTGTTTCAGTAGTAAATATGTATCATCATTTTTGCGACTTTTTCAACTTGTACGCGTCATTGCACGTAAACCTCTCGCACCCCGCCGCCTTCAGCACTGATAATCATATAATGATCTGGGAAAGCTACAGGTAATCGACACCGACGCAACAGAAAAACCACGAGTTATCTAGGTATCAAGAGTTCTTTCACTTTCAGCTACCGTTCAGCGTTCCAAGACGCGTTCGATGCTTTCACGAGAAATCCGCTGTGGGATTTAAAAACGTTCCGCGGTGAAACTGTCTGCTTCAAGAACCTCGTGTTCCCGTTATTACCGCGCATGATATTTGGTCTTTATTATAATACACCTCTTGTACGATTATTTAAACTCTCATTTTCTAAATTACATCTTACTTTCTAATTATAATTATAGAATCTTAATATAGAACGAATCATTTTAGATCTACGGCTGTGAAAAAAGTGGACTATTCAAAGCTTTCGGCGACCACCTGCTGCATAGACTACGGATACCTCTTCACGAGAGGAAAAACCAAAGAATAAGAGTAACTTTACTTAGCAGAGATACCCAGTATAGGAAAATCTTAAACGAGGACGAACTGGTGAAAGCTTTGAAAGAGAATCCAGAGTACAAAGTAAGAAAGGTAAAAAATTAAAAGTTTTTAAGAATAATACTTGATAATAGGATGAATTATTGAAGAATTGTCGAAATTGGAAGAAGAATTATTGGGATGTGATAGTGAAAGCGTTATATTTTCGCAGGTAGTTTATAATAAAAAAGTTCCATTTAAAAAGCAATTAGAAATAACCAGAAACTCTGATATCTTTATTGGTATACACGGAGCCGGATTGACGCATTTAATGTTTCTACCGGATTGGGCAGCTGTATTTGAAATGTGAGTATATTTAACACTGATGGGTCACCAGTGGCCCACTATTTGAAAAATCTTAAATTTCAACGCGTTAAATAATTTTCCCACGGTAAGCATGTCTTACATCTAATTATTCTTCAGATATAATTGTGAAGATCCGGGATGTTACAAGGATCTCGCTCGTTTACGCGGAGTCAAGTACTTCACGTGGGAAAATACCTCGAAATTAGTACAACAAGACCCCGTAAGTATTTCAGACAATTTGAATTTCATGTTTTTCGAGAATCTTTAAGTAATCGTATTTATCACGAGAACAATTGAAACCACACAGGGTACGCATCCTGACGGAGGAGCACATGCGAAATTCACGAATTATAGCTTCGATATTAAAGAGTTCCTGCGTATAGTCTCGCTCGCGACTGATTATGTAAAAAATCATAACGATTTTAAAAGATTCCTTAGTAAAAGAGCGCAACGGAAAAGAACGGAAGCAAAGAATCAGACTAGAATAAGCGATGTTAATGAAGAGAAGGATCCAAAAGCAAAAAAGGCAAATGAATTGAAGCCGGTTATTCAGTCCAAAGATGAATTATGATGACTATGATAGACGATTAATTTCGATGACAACGAAAGATCTAGATTAATACCATAGTTAAATGTCGAACAAATTAAACGACACGTTACCAATTAATTCCCTTTACTTATTTTTGTACCGATATATGTACATATTTATTTTAATAAAAAATAAATAAATATGGATACTATTTTATACATCTACGCGAGGACAATGAAGAATACTCTGAAATTATCAGTCACTTAGGCTGATTGTGATTTAATGTTAATTATGTATATACATTACAATATATAAAATTGTATACCCTGATGTGTGACTAGTACAACGAATCGTACATTTTTATAACTTAATCTGTACCTGTTTCCTATACAACAATAAAACCGATGTTATGTTTACAGCCATGTATGCAATCAATATTTGCACTGCTTTTGATTGATTCACATATAACGTTGGTATTAATATATTAATACCACCGGTCATTAAATTTGACAACAAAAAGAAAAGCAGACCATTGTAATTCACAGCTTCCAATATTTCGATGGTATCTACAATTGTCTTTTCCTTAGATTCTTCGGGTACGTGTTCCCTTTTATTTCGAACGTTCATTTTGTGCGTTCTGCTTTTCTTTTCCACGAATTCTGAATCCGTGATTGCATGAATTAATAAGTCTGTAATTATCTCTACCAATAATAATAACGTAAGTAACATGCTACCTAAGGTAAGTATCCACATACAGTAGCCTGCATTTGCTAACCGTCTCGAAACTCTAAAATACGAATCACAGAACAAAGTGGCTGCACAAGTTTGTGCAGATATCAAAGATAATTTAATACACAGTATCATAGATTCGTTGTAACTTGCGTCGAATTCGTATCCGAACAATTTGATATGGAACGTTTTGTGCTTGTACTGCAATGAATTTTGACCGCGTGAATTCTGATAAGTGGAATGTATCAGTCTACCAATTGCTACACCTATTAAATAAAGCCCAACATATCCGGGTACAGACACCACTCCCTCCCTGTTAGCAGATACAAAATCATTTCTTGGTCTATTACTCAAAACCCATTGTTTCAACCCTTTGGTGCTTAAAATGTATTCATGCATCCCTAGAATCCAGATGCCTGATAACAATGAGTATTTAGAATTGATAGTACTTGTAATGGAGCTTGTGAACAGTTTAACAAAAGCCAGAGTTATGAAAAAATTCCAATGAATCCCATATTCAGTTACATGTTTCTGATATCCTAGAACTTCAATGGCTACAGACCGGCCAAAACCTAATATCAACAATGGAATACAACTTCTAGCTGATTGTTTTATGTTCCTGGATATAGTGTGAAGGAAACCTATTCTGAGTCTTGGAGAAAAGTCTCTAGCCTCTGGAGCTACTAAAGCATTGGCTAGAACAAATAATCCAACACCAGTGTCCATCAAACTATATCCAAACACCTCAGTTTTGGCGAATTTGCGAGGAAAGATGTGAAAATCTATAGCCAATATACATATTGCTGTTATTATGTTAGTCAATGCTCTAAAGTATGTAATGAAAGGCCTTTTGCCATAAGTAAGCTTTGCATTGCACATTGGCAAAGTTCTTGAATTAATTCCTAGCAATAGCATGTTGATAATAGATATCACCATCATAGCACAACACACAGTAGCAATGTGCTCTGATAATATTGTGCAACATAAAATGGATGGTACTACGATTAATATAAATTCTATAAGAACCCTAACATTTTTATGAATAAATTTTTTTATAAGACCTAGTGTTGTAATAGTTAAAAGAATGCTGCATATGTTTGGTAAAAGTGCATATACAACTTCTCTGGATGTTGTCCCACCATGACCAGAAACAAATGCTTCTTGCTGTTGGCGGTAAAGATTCCTGTTCCACACATTGGACATATTTATGGAATAAGCAATTAATTTTCTCAGTAGACAATATCCTGTAAAAAGGTATTGTTCATTCATTGAGGAAATTACTTTTCTGCCATACAAATAACTTACAAGATAATTCATTTTTATTAAAGGTGTAAGAGGAATCACCTTGTTTTTATTTCCAACACAGTATTTCAATTGATTTTACAAAATGAAATATTGTCAATTCCCATTTATTTTTTATGAACCTGCTTTAGAAAACATTTCTCCAGCTTATACTGTGAAATATTACTTATTATCTTCAATTATCAATAAAAACATATCAAAAACTGTATACACCTCTAAGCAAATGCTTTTACTTGAAATGAAACCCACTGACAACTATTGACCAACACAGATGGAGCTACTATTGATTTTGCTGATTTCACACACATTTAAAACAGAAAGCAAAAAGAAATGTGAAGATCAAACTGAATGTGTGAAACTTAAAACTTTATTTTGGAATCAAAATATGTTATGTCCACTGTGTAGAAAAGAATATTCTCTAGAAGAAATAACAAGTCACCTTGACTTATGTTTTGCATCACTTGATGTAACTCTAAGGAACACATCATCAACCCTAAAGAGGTCCTACCCTAAAGAGGAATGTGATGAAAGAAATCTACCAAAGAAACACAAAGGAAGTTCCACAATGGATGTAATAAATATGAATCAATCAAAAGCAATGCCAAACAAAGATCAGTTTCCACTTGCTGAAACAATGAGACCTACATGCCTTGATAATTACATAGGTCAACAACATGTTATTGGTTCTAATACAGTGTTACAACAGTTGTTAACAAAAGGATGCATCCCTAGTATGATCTTCTGGGGTCCACCAGGATGTGGAAAGGTAATATGAATATTAAATGCTATTAGTTTTTAAATTCCTAATGACCCAAACATTTTTTTAGTCATCCCTTGCTAATGTAATCTCAAACTTGAGTAAAGAAATACATGGAAGTAAAGTGCATGTTATAAAATTATCTGCAACCTCTTCTGGTGTCAGCAGTATAAGAGATATTGTTAATAAAGCAAAGAATGGATCAAAGTTAAATCATGAGACTATTGTCTTCATGGATGAAATACATCGTTTCAATAAGCTTCAACAAGATATTTTCCTGCCACATGTTGAGGCAGGCACATTTACTTTGATTGGAACAACCACAGAGAACCCTTCTTATAGTTTAAACTCTGCTTTATTAAGTAGATGTCGTGTATTTGTTTTAAATAAATTAACCCCCAAAAATATTGTTGAAATTCTTTGTAAAGCAATTTTATCTATTGGTGGAGAAATATATGATTCCCAAAACCAAAGATTGTCAAATAATTTACAGAATAAAGTAGGTGTAAGTTTCAAGCCCTGTTTCTCAATCAATAAAACCATAATTGATTGGCTAGCAGAAGTATGTGATGGGGATGCACGGGTTGCATTAAATGGCTTAGAACTAGCAGTTAAGACTAAAATATTGGATGCACCAAATCCTTTACATGGTGCATCAATTACTCTTGATGATGTCAAAGATAGTTTAAAACAAGCACATATGTTATCAGATAGACAAAGTAAAAATACACATCATTTATATTCAGCTTTAAATAAATCAATAAAAGCTGGTAATGCGAATGCAGCTTTGTACTGGTTAGCAAGAATTATGGCGATCAAAGAAGATCCGGTAGATATAGCAAGAAGATTAGTAAGAATATCAAGTGAAAATGTTGGTCTAATGGATCCTGATGCTTTAGGTACATTTCTTATGATATAACAATTAAATGTTTTTTTCAATATCAAATAAAAGAATTTAAAATTTTAGGAATAGCGGTTCACACAATGCATGGATGTGAAATGATCGGAATGCCAGAATGTGATGTTATTTTAGCAGAATGTGTTGTATATTTAGCTAGAGCTCCAAAATCTCAACTTGTGTATAATGCATTAGAATCAGCCAAAGATTTTATCATGAATTACAAAGGACCACAACCAACAGTACCAATACACATTAAAGATAGATCAAGTCAAAGAAAACTTCAAATCATTTTCGGTAAGACAATTTTCATTAGATACATACAAAATTCAACCAAATTCTCTTGATATTCTTTACAGGGCATGACGAGAAACATTTAGTACATAAAGAAGAGAGAGGTCAAAGTTACTTACCCCCGGATTTGCAGCATATTGACTTCTTTCAGGATACTTCGTAAGCTCCTCCTCTCCAGAAGACAAATTTCTTTCTGCTGGATGTATTCAGGCACTACACTTTTGAAATAAACTATTTTTCCGAATAAAAACTTTGTTTTGAACGAGTCCTTTCGACGCACTTAAAGGAAACGCGGGACGAGTTCCACTTTCAAACTGCGGCAAAGTGCGCTAACGCTCCACCAATCAGAAGGCGACCGGCGATGAGTCACTCGTTCGGTGCTGCCATCATTCAGTGGTGCCAACTCGTGTGTGCACTGAAGTATTAGAAGATTCATTGTAGACGTCTCTTACATTCTTTTGAGTAACATCAGGTTTCTGAGTCAGTAGACTCACCTTGCTGTGTGAAACTTGTAGTTTTTCGTGTAGTTGTTAATAGTTTAAATTATAGTGTTAGTGGATACATCATACTAAAGAAAATTTAACAAATATGAGGTTGTGGACGTCGCATCACACTTTCGAGTGAGTATCATTTAGAAGTTCATTAGTTTGTAACTTTTAAGGCTAGGATGTGAAAATATTCAATGACATTTCGTTATTACTCAAAGAATTCTATCTTTGAATCCATATCATCGAAGATTCAATGCATTCTTTATGTTTGTAGTCATCCCTGGGAGACAGTGGTGAAAGCAGCATGCAGAAAGTACCCGAACCCTTTAAATCCATCCGTTCTAGGAACGGATGTCATTGATAGAAAAGTCGAACAAGGCGTCCTATATTCTCACAGATTGGTTACTACTGAATGGCGATTTCCTACGTGGATATTACCGGTAAGTTTTCACACATGATAAGAGTTATTTGTCCTATATATAGAACATAACCTTAAGTACATATTACACAGAATATCTTTTATTCTGTCTGAATACAATTAGTAATTTATGAATCACAATATTTGTTATAAACCACAAAGTATGATACCAATATTTAATCTAAAGGTAACTCTCATTATTTTGTATTATATCAATTGTTAAGTTCAATATTTTTTTGCTTATTATCTCCTGTTGCAATCATTTGATAAGAAGATATTAATGTACTTGTCAGTTTCAATATGTATGAGATCTGATACAAAGACCTGACCTTTGAAAAAACAGCTGTAAGCATGCTTTGAGTCATATGATATTCTCTTGTATGTCAGTGACTCAAAAACATATAAATACTTAAGAAAGTATCTTAATGAAAGTTGTTCAGTTGTTCATTATTAATAGCCATACAGTTTACACGTGTCTAATGAATAATTAATCCAGTGAAATTCCATTAATTATTGGCTCATCTTTCAGTATGTTTCATTTAGTACATATAATTGCCGTATAAGCGCTGGTATCGTTCAAGGTTTCTGAGTTTTTAGAGTCGATTTTACTGACCACTGTAAGTAGAGTAGGGAAATGTTAACCTTGAGGAAGATTATCAATTTCAACTTATCGATCCTAAGCTGTACCCTTCACTTTTAACCATATCAGAACGACCTTTCGACCTTAATCGTAATCTTAATATTCCTCTTGGCGGTCTTAGACATCGTATCGTCCTGAGTTTCTTTGCGGTTTCATTGACGTCGATGAATGAAAGTAACGAAAGTCACGAGTGATTACGTACATTGCACGTACCAGAATAATTGGCGACATGCCCGTTGATGTAAGTGGAAGAAGCACGCGCTAATTCTTACGTAATCTATCGTTTCCCGCAGTGGCAAGTAGTACTGACGTAGGTAGTAGTCATGCTGCGGCTAGTTTTTAAGTAGATTATGCATTCTTATACTCGGACGTCAATTTATCCTCTCTGATAACACGATACTCTCGTTGTATAACCAGCAGATTGAATGTACCTTCGAGTCGAGTTAGTATTGTACTAACAATTTTCATTTGACCCAAAACCGAAGTATAGTTTGTCTTAAAGTTTGAGTAACCCCGTAAGAAATCAATTTACACGCGATGTTATGCTGTCGTTCTTTGCTGGACGCCCAGTTTATAGACAAAACAGCTTCCCGCCGTTTGACCAAGCGATCCATCCAAACAGCCGGCAGGAAATTCGAAACTTTCGACAACAGGGAGCAAGAAGAAGGTGCAGGGTAAACCCGGGTTCGAGGCAGCGAATTACAAAACAACGACATCGACCGTATCAACTTTCATAATGAGCGGCCTCCTCCTTCGCCTCGCCTCTCAATGTTACGCTCTTTGGCAATCATCCAGCGAGGCGCCTGCGTTTCGGCATATACACCGACAGCAGAGCCTCCCTTAGAGCCTTCTCCCTCATCCCTGTTTCTTCTCTGGCCAACGGGGGGAGATTCGAGCGTCGAATCCTTTTCGGCTCGGCGAATTGCTTCCTTTCGCAGGATTTTCTATAAGCTTGGCCATTTCGCAAAGCCGTCCTGTTGTGCCGGCTCGCTCGCTCGAATGCCTCGAATCACAGTTCCGTATATAACGAATGCATAGCAGGCGGAGAAAAGAGGAACCGGAAGAGAGAAGAAAAAAAAAAAGTAAACGGGAAGCATCGCCTTCGCCGTTTTAGGCACTTCTGAAATTACTCGACGGAAGGGAAAGTACAAAGGCTCGTTTCGATTTGAGTTAGTTGCCTTGTCTTTCTTTATTGTTCATTTCTTTTTTCTTTTCTTCTTACTTTGGTCTTTGTTTCTCCGCTCTGTAACTGCTTCTACGCTTTCGTTGAGCCAGCTGCTGCATCGACGAAAATTTCTGACTAATTAACAGGTACACTCGAACAACAAGGTGCATTTAAATTTGCTTGCTCCTACGTTCGAACGTTTACCAATTCCGAGGGTAAGAATTATATCGGGTAGGCATTGTGATCATTGGCCGGGTCGCGTAATTAAAGTTCAATTAATCAGGGAAATGTAATCAATTACTGGGTGAACGGAAACTCAATGATGTTGGACTTGGTTTTTCGATGATTTATATTTCTGGATACCCAGACTAAATTATGCTTTCAAATTAATTTAATTTTCTTCGGTACGGATACGGTATATTTATTGGTAACGTTAAATTGCTTTTAATTTATCGTATATGAATTTTACCAGAGCGGTGCATCGAAGGACGTAATAATTCGCTATGCACGAACGTGGATTTTTATTGGTACAAATTCTTTTCCTTTTTGCTTTCAGACGGGAGTTTGTAATTCAGTTTCAGATGATACTTAATTTGTTCTGTGAAAAAATGTTGCGTTTATTTTTGTTCCAGTTCTTCGGGCATCGTGGTCCATACTACGCTAGCGAATGGAGCGAAGTTAATCCGGAATCAAAGGAAATGGTAGTCAGAACAGTGAATGTAAGTAAATGTTAAAAATTCAATTGTTTTTAAATTATTCACGTCTCTGGTATTTTCAATCGAATTCTTTCGAATAAAACACTCGCAATTTTCTCATATTATTTACTTAATGATGGATTTACACGGTAATCGGAAACGTAGTATAATATGTGCTCGTTTGTAGATACTTAATTCGTATCATTAATCAGAATATCACGTGTAACGTTTAATCAACCGAATACAAATTTCCATGAAGCATGCCTCTACAGAGATTTCATTACATTTGCTCTTTATTATTCGCATATTGCTCGACAAAGCACTTTGACCGAATTTGTAATTAATCTTTCCAAAGCGCGATAAATGGGGAGCGAGCGAATCGATATTCAACGTGTGAATGTTGCTTTGCAATTTCATTAATGTGTATTATGCAACACATCGATGGAATCGTTGGAGATAATTTGCTGATAGTAGAAATGGAAAGAAATAATAAAACTTCACGAATCGCTCATGTTCCAGAATTAAATGTACACGTTTTTAATATTACAATTTTCCCGTTTAACAATTCACACCATCACCAGACTGATTCCTTCTCCGCGATTGCATTAGCAATTCATTTGGTCGGTGCAAATAAATTTGATAAACGAAATGCCGGCACACAGAGGCGCGCGAGCACGTTGTAAGCGCGTAATCGAACAATCAATATATTTCCAATTTCATTGGAATCGAGATCAGCAACAGTAATTGGAAAATAATTTAATGCAATTTCACCTGTGGAATTACACTCGATCCTTTCGACACCGACACGCTCTTGATGCACCTACCTACCTTCCGATCGAAATATTTTCAATTTATTCCGTTCAGTTGCGAAAGTAGAATGAAAACGACAGAAATTCGTCGGTTCTATCATTGGATAATATTTGTTCGAAAAATTGACCGATTCCCAGCTCGAGAAGTAGATACATTTGCCAGGGGAAGATCGACAAGAGTTGCTTGCACGTCTTAGAGTCGAGGTGCACAGCATCGTATCGCATCTGGAAGGATGGATATGATAGGTTATTGATGCTCGCATTACCGGAGGGTTCCATAGCTTCGTGGTCTCTTCGGAGGGCTGCGCAAGCAGGGTTTCGGGAAGACAGGATGGAAAAGGGCGAAGTAAAGGGAACGGGAAGTATTGGTCTTAGCTGGTTGCACGCGTTGGAGATCGTTCTCCTGCTGGTTCCTTGATCCTCGGTCAAAAAGAAAGAAAAAGAAAAGTGATACCGGGATGCTGGATGCATTACTACTATGATGAACGATCCGCAGGTGGCTCCGAGCAAAAAGTGCATCCCTTCCATCTACTACGAGCTGCTACCGTCGATCGTTTTTACTTATCGAGCCACTTCGACATACCTATACCTGTGTAGCAAACGGCTACTTAGGTGGGTGGAAAATTCGTACACGAAGATGCTTTCACCATCGCGAGGAAAAATCCTCGCTTTCTATGTACTTCGCGAAATCCGCAAAAACTAGCGAACCACTGAACAACTGTTCGCGTAAATATCTAAATTAGCGAGTCCGTTTTTTCGTATGCGAAACACGAACCTTTGAAAAATACAAAACTCCCGGCTGATTTATCGTGAAAAAACAGAAACGGGAAGATTTTATTTTCGTCGCGTAAATATTAACAATGAAACGCAATGCGGCTAACCGGGTGTCCATTTATCAGCTGTTTTATATGTAACTAGCTTGTTTGCTCTCGTACATCAAGTATGAAGCGTAAACGGGCTGGCTATCGTGAAACGAGATACAACACGAATCCCGCGATACGTGCTCGTCGCTTGAATATCATGTTTGAATACATTACGCACCGCGCAAACACTTTGGTGCTGTTAATTATTTCAAAACATTAAGTATTCAGATTTTCCGTGCGAAAAATAACGCGACGTCATCGGCCGATAACGAAACATGGAGTTTCTTCGCGATCGTTAGTCCCTCGAACGCACGGGAAGTAACCATCCCCCGATTCAAGATCCTCGACGTCTTCTTTCCCGCCGTCGTCTCTCCAATTAAGGTCAGACGTCGGCAGGAAGTGCCGCGTGATATTTCCCCCCTGATCGTCCCGCGGTCGCGTAATCTACGGGGACGTGTTTCCGCGTTTCCTGCACGCCGAGGGCTAGATACGAGCTTCAACTAAAATTGAACAATTCCCCGCGGGATGTCAACGCTTTCTCTGTCCTATACACCGTTCTCCGTCTGTTTGGCGAGTACACGCACGAGGAGGACTTCGCGAAATACACGCGGCCGAATATAACGCTCGCGCCTACCAAACGAGCGCAGCCAACAACGTTGTATAGGGAAGCGTACCGGAGGCAATGTATTCTACATAAGCTCGCTAGAGTCCGGACCAGGTTATAACGTATCCCCGTCGAATCCCAAGGGGGAGATATCTTTTAGCAATTTACCCGTGCCCGTAGCGGGCCCTGATGCCGCACACGTTTACGCGGCGTGCATACGTATCGTGCCGTCGCTGCTTGCCACGTAATGCGGCCTCGTATCGTTCAACCTAAACGCATCCGGCGTATATAGGTACATCGGGTACAAGCTGAACATAATGGGCTCTGTTGCCGGTCCGGACTCCTCCATATCGTTCCATATCCCGAAGCCTTCTGATCGCAAATTCAGAGATGTTTCATCGGATGAATCTTGAAAAAGAATACGATCGTCCATGTGCGTACGTTCGTATCGTGCCAACAGGACTGTAAATATCGTTGCGTTGTAAAATCCGGCCCTGTTAATCGAAAACAATGCCCGTTGCTGTCTGGGGAATCGCGACGCAGTGAATACAAGCGTTCGACAGGAAAAACGATGAAACATTCTCCCGATGGTGTAGCTGGATGGATATTATCGGATTATCAAACGGACATACCGTAGTCGCCCGTCACACGACGATCGATCGCGTTAAGTTAATCGTGTTATTATTTAAAACCTGTTGTAAAACGTGCCCGGCTTTCTAGCTCGACGATACGAGTTTGTAAACGTAGCGTGTCTGGTGTACGGATTAATGAACTAGAAACACCGGCATTACGACGCGTTTGTCACTTGAAATTTCAACCCTATCGCGGTATTACGTTCGCGTTTTCAGAAATCGTGGAAAAGTGAAAGCCGATAGATCAGACGTACATAAGTCTTCGCGCGACACGTTCCCAGCGATACGTCGTACAACACGAAGGGAACCGGAACGATATTTTACCGGCGTCGACTTCTGCACTCTCTCTCAAACGATACTTCCTTCGTTCTGGCACGAATTTCCGTGCGTGCAGGCGCGAAAACCCGAGACAGGATAGAGATAGAAGGATAGCAGCCTGGTAGAAGGGGTGGCATCGGACGAGAATTAATAACGGACGCGTGTATCGGTGATGTATCCTGGCTGTGTTCACCGACTCCCCGTGGACTTTGCTGATGGAGAACTGGAGGATGGTAAGGGGTGGTTGCGTTCGGCTGGCGTACTGGGCTGACTGAACGTGCCACCGACTGAATTATTGTACGCGCAGCCCTGTAAATCATAAAAACAACAAATTGCGCACGGCTGAACGCGGTGTGTGGAGAGTCGGCACCGTGTTCCTAAAGCACCACATTTACGGATTTTTGTACGGGCCTGTGCCGTCGTACGCGAGGCACCGGGCAACACCAGCATTTTTTGAATCGATTGAAATATGGAGTCGAGACAGAGACGGGGACGGCTTAATGAAAAATGGTAACTTCAGAGCAGCGAGATCCGCGGCTTGTACGACGCCCCGTGTACAAGTTTCGGCTTGAAACCCTTGATCCCAGTGAATCCTCGTCGAGCTTGTTGTCACGCGACAACCCCATCGAAATGTTTCCAACGCTATCCACTGACTCGTTGGAAAAATTTTTGGGAATGGATATTAATGATCCTACGGCGGATAATGGAGGGAACGTATATTTATGGTTAGCTAGAAATATCCTCTTACGAGAAAAAGTATAAAATCTTCGATCCGGAATACTTCATAAGTGTCTAACGGACCGTCGAGCGTATCGATTCGAGTTACGGATGCGGCTCTATTTGTTGAGAAATGTACATAGACGCGGAAACAAGTAATTGAATCGAACGTGCAAGGAAACCGCGCGCGTATCCATTCAGCCGGGAGCAGATGACTGGAAGCTCCCGTTTACACGATCTAATACGGATTTGTCAGCACACGATTCCCAATCTCCCCAAAATCCACTGAAATCGGCGATTACCGTGCGCAAGAGAAAGCCCCGGGCCGAATTCTATTCGAGGTCGATCCAGTTTCCGACATTACGTCGTAGTGGATTCGTGCTTCCGGCGGTCCTGGCACCCTCTCCAGGCATCGAATGGTACGGCCGAATTGGGAACATAGACGGCCCAGAGAACAATGCTGCCTGAAGCCAGATACGTAAAGTCCCTCTCAATTATGCGGCGATGCTAATTACTCGCGAGTGCATACTGAAGAAGGCTCTTTAGCCCACACAACGACCCCTCGCAGGGTCTCGGCAATCCTTCCTACCCTTACTCTCTCTCTCTCCTCGTTATATCGGCGAAAGATGAAACGGAATTACGAGGATTCTTGATTGGAGAGCACGCGAGCTTTGTTTCAACGATAATTTACTCTTCTTTCCTATCGACACCATTATTACTTAGGATACTTCGTTAACCCTCGGATGACGGACCATGAGGAGAGCTTCAATTTTAATTTTTTTTTTTAATTTTACACTGTTGTTTTAAAAATTATTCCTCCGCTATATGAAATTATTTCTTTTAAAAATTGTACATTTAATTTTAAAGAGGAACGTGGGGAGATTGAAGTTTCTTTGATCAACCCTTTTCGTCTTTGCCGAGGCTAAATTAATAATTTAGTAATCAATCAGTCCTATCTGTAATCGAGTGGTCGGTTCTTTTACATCGGGTTCTTGATTTTTAGTTAACGATTTTCGTCCTAACTGCGCTACTAAACGCGATCGTGCCGCAATGCTGCGGTAAATGAAAAGCAAACGCCGTGCTCGGTGCAGAGACCGAGGGATTGGCAAACATCGGTTTCGACGCGCGGCTGACGAGAAAAATTTCAATTAACCGATGCACTAGATCGGAGGGAGACAGGGTCGACGATGTACGCTTTTCGTACTCTCCGCTGTGACCGGGAGAGAGAGAGAGAGAGAGAAAAAAAAGAAGTGAAAATTAATTACTTCGTCGTTGACGCGAGGACCGAGAGAGGGATCGATCGTTCGCTTGATAGGATTAAATCGCGTGCCAGGCGTTTACCTTTTTCACGGTCTCTTTCTTTTTTCATCATTGTCACGGCGATACCGACGCATCGCATTCTGTTTCCCCTGTCCCGTTGATGAGACACAACGGAAGATGATTACGTCGCGACGCCACGGGACGCTCGCGGGAAAAATATCTCTCCTCGGTCAGAGTTCTTTTTGAATGTACCTAGCGTAAAAAGGATTTAATCTCGACGCTGAAGAAAGAATCGCGTTTCGAAGACCCGCGTGAAAGCACGAACTCGAGACGGATTATTTTGCGGAATTTAATCGGATTTCTGTTTTAAACGAAACTTGAGACACGCTTTTAAACGAGTTTTATCAGAGTACGAAATTATTCGTTATTATGTTTGATATTTATCAGTTCTATTACGTAATTCGTATTCTTTAATTGAAGCTGGCTCTTTCGTTTGACGACAGTCTTAATGACTTCGATTCGCGCTAAACGAAGCGCGTTTTTATTATTACGTTAAAAGAAATCTTACCTTATGGAGTACAGAATTGCTCGTTACGGAAGCTACCGTTCGTCTTGCCAATTACTACCTCCACCACCTGTGTCTTTTTCTTTTATACGTTTCTTTGTTTTCTGTACCGAGTCCCGATTCGCGACTGCAGTGTCCGTGGCACTTAACTGATAAGGGCGCAAGGAAGGCGCGAGGTGTTAATTACTCGTACTGAAAAGAACGTTGTTTCAACGATGAAATTGCTTCCGACTTCATTTCGCGCGGATTGAAAGTCGTAATACAGTGTATAAGATTCTCTATTTTTCATTGCGAAATACATGTGATTCTGCTCGATTCCCCATGGGATAGTTTTAGAAATACGAACAATACAAGGCAAACAAAAGTAACGTGCGTGTAATTCGAACCGAGTTTACGCGGATGGCGAGAAAACAAAGAACTGTATTCGACAGAATTGAACGCAGCTGAATAGCCCTTTCGATTCTCGATTTCTCGCGAATTAACCCATCCGTATTTTCCCTAATCCACGATCCGTGTAATTGATGAAACGCTATTCGAAGCAGGGCGTTAATTTTTCTTTTATTTCTCTCTATTTTTTGTCTCTTCCGATTGTACGGGGGTGAGAATGCCACAAGATTGGGGGTTGGAGGCAGGGAGAAACGCGACGAACTGGATAGTCGGTCGCGATGTAACACAGTCGACTTCACTGATTGCCAATATGGCGGAGAGAGCATAGAGGACCGGTCCTCCTCTCTATCTCGATCACAGCGTGGATCCACAATGTGCCGCGGGCGTTAATTCCCCCGTGAAACGTATTGCACCCCCGCGATTCAATTGTTCCAGCTGCACGGCCACGTCGCTTCACGGTGCACTGCCGCGAATCAGTCGTACGCAGCTCATTATGATGTAATTTTCAGACTTGCATCATTATCGGATCTTTATAAAAGTGATACGCGGAAAGCACGCGATCCTGCTTGTTTTATTTCTTCTAACCCCTTTCAATGGAGAGCTCCATCCCCTTGTCTGAGCCTGATTCTGAAAGAGAACACTGAATTATTCCCATTCTTGATTACATAGGATTTTCGTGTCTATAGACGGTCGAGAAATTCGTTGATTCGTGTTCCTGTTTAGCGTGTGTTTTATTCAATGCTCGATGAATAAGATAACGACAGTGGAAACAACTTTCAACACAATGTCCGAGAGTCAATCAACGTGCAGCAATTTCGCTCTGTCACGAGGATCGTTGTTGAAACTTTACCCCGGTGGCAAGCTTTATTTTGTTACATCGATTATTCAAGGCTCCCACGTCACTTTCGTGGAAACGTTTTATCTTGATAACGATAGTCAACCATCTATCCGAAGGTTGGTAACCCCGCGAGTTGCACGACACGCTCGATAGTAGAGCCACGTAGGTGAAATGAGAGACCTTTGACATCTAATGATAAGAATTGTTAGAAATCGTTCTGCGAAGGCGACTCGAATTATTTTCTTTTTTCTTTCAGATAAGCTTGGGAAAGCACGTTTCCGTTGGTGAGGTAGTCACGTACTCGGAACATCCGGAAAACCCGGAGACAACGCTATTAACACAACAAGCAGTAATTTCTATCACAGGGGTGCCCCTTATTGATCATCTCGAGAGGTTACTGACACACACCATCGAACAGAATGCAAACAAGGTACATGATTTTATATTTCTTCCTCAATTTTTATAGTAAATTTCTTCATTTTTATATGATACTGATGGATACTCAGATTCTATTGCAATTTGATTTATATTAACCCTTAATTGATGATGCGGGGTTTGACATACTCTAATTGTTTTAATTATCAATTGGATGAAAACATAATTATTCTATGAATACAAATTGGCGATCGTTAAAAAATTTCGTTGTTTCTGAAAAACACCACCCTACCAGTCAAGGGTGCGATTTTGGTGGTGGATAGGTGCAGTTTGTTCTTAGGAAAATTTTGAAGAAGAGTTGATGAATAATTCTGAAGTGGTGTTATGGAGAGGTGCGAGATTCTTGTTTCGCGCTGTAACGAAGTGTCTTCGACCGATTGCGTTTCAGGGACGGCAGGCAATGGAATGGGTCATCGAGAAGATCCAATCGGAAGTGAAAGATATCGCGTCGTCTGCCGCCAAGTCGACAGACGACTTATTCAATCAGACGCGACGTCAGTTCGACGACATCACAAATATCACAAAACAGGGCATGGAAGATTTCCAGAATGCTGCTAAAAAATCGTTCGACGATTTTCACAATTTGACAGTACCACCGCCATCTCAATCGATACCGAAATTATAGCTAATATATCGCACCAGCTTCAATCTCTTTAACTAATGCTACGAAGATCTTTGATGGAACGATTGAGAATTAAAAATGACAAGTTCTTAGCAAAATACTCAAAGGAAGATATGTTTATGTTACTGCCAGAATCATGGGACTGTGAATATTTAATTAACCTTTTAATGGCAGGCCATTGAGGCAATGATACTTTTAATTTAATTTTTGATTCCTTTTTACTCCAATTTTCTAAATTTTACATTATTCCTTTAAATATTAATTTTCCATTACGTGAAAGTCTTTCATTAAAAAAATTTCAGTGCTTAATTTTAATCGAAGCTTCATTACATGAGTTTATAGATCTGGGTCACGATTAACCCGGCTCCGCTGTTCGACGATTAAAGTAATTAAAATAGGGCGGAATGTGTGATATTTTTGAACGGGCCAACAGAACTGCAAGTTTCTATTTGATTATAGTGATTAACACCTTGGATTGTCAATCGTTCCACGAAAATCGTTTAGTGGAAGAGTTGTAGCTGCGGAAAGTAATAACAGACATTAGAAAGTTTTACGAAACATTATGATTTCATATCCAACTCGTTTATGAATACTATACTTTCTAACGAAAGGTTTAAGAATCTGACGATAGATTTCTTACGAGAGAAGAAAAAGAGAATATTTAATATAGAACAGCAAGATCGTATTGCGTTCTTGTGTTTATGAGATTGAATAGTCGGTGGAACATATATCGAATAGAGAGCTTATTTTTGATAAGCTTCGTTTGTGTTTAGACGTCGCACCTATAAAAATGCTTCAACGTAATGCTGTTCACACACATTAAGAAACGTCAGTGTTTACCTCATTTCCTTGTATCAAGCTTTATATTTTATCGTGACTAGAAGTAGATTCGACTATACGTACGTCTCTCGTGGTTGCTGAACAATACAGCACGTCGATGTGAACTATTTATTTTCACGCGAGACATTCGCAATGGTCGTAAATATATTTAGAACAATTTAGCTAATAATCGTGGCTTCAATTATACAGGAGAAAATAAAAGAAAAGAAACTAATGGTACTCGTATGATCGTTAGTGCACGTATTTCGATGTCAATTGAACGAGGTCTAGGGCACGGCTTGGGTTCTACTCCGATGTTTATTCAATTGGAAAGCAGAGAAAATCAAGTATATAGATATATTTTTAAAGCAAAAATGAAGTTGCGTTAATTATTTCCACTGTGAAGTTTAAGAGTTTCCTGTCGAGTCAGAAATAATCAGGTCTCGTTATCGGAACACGATCGATAAAAGGAGTTGGAAGCTTATTCGAAGCGGTAGTTCGCGAGAAAAAGAAAGCAAGAAAAGAGACAGCTTTTACTGTTAAGGAAACATTGTCCCCAGGTGGTCCGTCGATACTCGTATCGTTCGAAATCGTGCGCCACGAAATACCCTGATGTCTCTCCTCCCCCTTCGGCCGCTATCATCCCCCGATTCTCTCTCTGGAGGATATTCGCGCGAGTCAGCGAGTGTTTCCACGCGTCGAGGACGAAACACGCTCGTACGATACGGGCCAAGTATCGATTCGGCGATGGAGGACCAGTCTCGACATTCCGCTCGAGTAATTTCCAGCGCAGCGGAATTCCGAACGGGTCATTATTGTTCTCGCCGGTCTAGAGACAATTTCCATCGGTTTACTCAAATCTGGCCGGCCAGCTATCTCTCTTTAGGTAAGTAGAAAGAGGGACAATGGAGAGCGCGAATCGTAGAGGGTTGGTCGGCAGGCACGTGAGGCCTGGAATACGAAGCGGCGCAGAGGGCAGGAAACGGACGAAATTTGACATCAAGGCTCAACCAGCGGTATGTAAGAGATAATTGATGACGTTACGGTTCATCGCTCGCTACTCGGTTACCGGACATAGACAAATATTGACAGCTTCCGATCACAGGACCTGCCCCGCTATCCTTTGTACCTAACTCACGCACACGTACCTTCGATGTCTGCTCGGTTTTCCCGTTGAATCGCCCCCGCTTAGTCCCTCGTACGTTAGTAAATCAACCGGCTCCCCGACGGGGTGGACGTGCATGTCGAGCAAGTTTCGCAAATTAAAGTGGCCTCGTTTGTCCCTATTAAAGCTTGACTGTGGCTATCGGTTGCACATGACGTTACGCTATGCTTTGACGACAAAGCGACAGTTTTCCCTTTGACTTACTTTTATTACAGCCATTTACTGTATATATGTGTGCGAGGGTGCCTTCTAGCTCCTTCGACTGGAACGCGAAATTACGAAGTTGAAACTTAAGCCGGAGAATTCGAAGGGCTTTGCTTCGAGAATCGAGGGGCCAAGTGCAGATGGTCAGGCTTGCCTCGAGCATAGTTTCGAGAACACCGATATGTCCCTACTGCATTGTTCATCTTTAATTGCCCGTACGGCTCTCACTTTGGTATTTTGCGAACGAACGAGTCTTCAAAGGGAACTTTCCCTGTAAATCGGTTGCTAACAAGTTTCGCTAAATTCGATTAGGTAGCTCCTCCTTATCCTGCGGTAAGAGGGACAAAGCGTCCTGTTCTTCTAGTCCTACTAATTGCTTCGTCTACTCATTAGGAACACGTTAAAACTTGCATTATCAATTTCCTTCAAGTATGCCGTTTAAAGGCGATGCATTAATTGAAAAGTTTCGCAGTGATTACATTGAAGATCGTTCGGGTAAATCTTTGAGATGGACGTTTATTTGTTTGAAAATGCTCGAGTTAGCTGGTTCGGAAGCTTACTCGGTGTCTTGAAAGGGATAGGATTTTCAAGGCCGCACCCCGCCCGTCTCCATTTTCCATCCCTTTAGCCCCGGTTCCGGGAGAAAAGGAGAGCTTCAAAGGCTTGAGCGAGCGTCGAAAAGGCTCATGGTTTACACATCGCTACGGTGCTCTCTCGTCAAGCCTCGTAAAAGCTCTCGGGACGATCGACTGTAAAAGTCGACGACACGGTCAAGTAGATCCTTCTTGATTTCTCGCTTCTCGATTCACGAGCTCGTGAAAAACCGCACTTCATACATTCCTGGTCACTGCCTTATATTATCCTTTCTTTTTGCTTCCCACCTACTTCTTCCTTCAAATTCAACAGAGGATCGCAATCTACCCTCTTGTATAGTCAATCGTTTCCTTCGAAGCAACACAGTTTGCTATTCTTCTTTTTCTTTCGTCTGGAAAGAGAATAAAAGATGTTGACTGCGAATCAAGTTCCTTTGATATCTCTCCGAGTTGTCGCAGTCTCAGTGCCGGGGTAAAATTGCAGCAAATTCTTCGATTCATTCTTTGAAATTTCATTTTTTTTATATATTTTAAAGAAAATTGATGATATGGAATTAGATAATGTCAATTGGGTATAATAGAATCGACGAGAAACAAGGAACGTGTAGGTGTTATATAACGCAGCTACAGTAATAACAGGCAATGTTGAGCTGTTCTGGGCGACGTGGCGCATACGCTTCGCCTATTAGCATACAATTATCTTTATGCTTCTTTTATGATTCATATTTAGTGCCAGTTACGCCCGGTTTTCGCTTCGTCGGCCAGCGCGGCAGCGCAGCTTCAAGTTTGCAACTTTTACGATCACGCTTGTTTCGAAACTTAACGTTCACCGTTTCACCTCTTATCATCGCTTCTCCGCGCAGCCATCGTGTTCTTGCTAAACGTGCTTTTGCAAATACCCCCGACGTACCCCCCCAGAGGGAAGCCCGAAAATTTGTTGTCGTACGTGCTGAAAATCAGCAACCGCTATCGATTTCTCTTCCACTCTCGTATACTTTGTTTCGACGATAAAAGGACTTTTCGAACGGATATTTCGAAAGAAATAATAAAATCATAAATAAACCTATTATCTGTTTCCACGGAAAGGTTTCTGTGCTCCACGAGAGAACGTTTAAGTGTGATTTTTGTTTGGTGCAAAAAACCGAAATAATAAAGACCGATAACGAGGAGACATCTCTAGTTGCGTGTCCTCCCATCGTTGCGCCATTCGGTACGGTCCATGGGTACGATCATGGTTCCAATGACCCACCATTGCTACCTGGCTACGACTGACCATTAATTTAATTAATGCAAATCCATTTGCAGCTGCACGCGAACCAACCATTCCCAGCCTTTATTTCGCGCCATTTCGACTTTATTTTTGACGGAACGCGAATTCGCTACGGCCGTACGGAATACCAGTACCTCGTCAATTTTTGTTTAGTTCGACCATTATTTCGGCCACATTTACATTTCCGATGCATCGTTTATTCAGTTTCCTTTCTCGCGTTTCGCTATTGAATTCAGCGAGCGTTTAATGGAACCACTATGAATATAGTTTTCATACTTGATAATTTAGTAATCTAACTTTCACGGAGTGAATATTCGCGTTAATTGAAAATCCAATTGAACAGCTTTTGTTTTCGAAATCAGCTCATAAATCGATGAGTTAATTTTCTATTTTTTCCATTTTAGAGTTTATTCAGTCCGTCTAATACGATCGAAGCGGTTGTATAAATTAGCCGGTTAAGATCGTTTACACCGGGAAAGTTTGATTTCGGTAGTTTTAGACCACATCCGGCCGAATGGCTAATAACGGACGTGCTCTGACTACTAATCGGCTTTACGGAGATTTCCCGATGTTCGGACGGGTATATGGGTTAAATGCTGCGGAGGTGAACGGGTCAAAGGGCAAGATTAGATGCTTGGGATGGACTTCTGCGGAAGTTGTGCATAATGCATGGCTCCTCGATAGTTCGTCGGTTCATAATAACTACTCATCCTTTCGGGATATGCGTGTACATGAAATTTACAGTACCGATAACAGTCAGCAAACAGAAGATGCGTTTTCGAATCCTGTAAATAACTGAAACGAGCTTCGTTTTCGCATTCTCTTCGTTTTTGAAATTTTACAAATTTATGGTACGAATTTCGTAGTAAAAAATTTGAGAATATATGTTAATAATATTCCTCTATATTGCTACGTGGAATTTATGAAATTTATTTTGAAACAGCTTCTCCGGCTACGAATTCGTTTACACGCGATTCTGCAACGGTTGATTGCATCTCTAATTGCTCGACGACGAGGCTCCGTATCCAATGAGCACGTAAAGTTTGTTTTAATATTAATTTCTTATCGTTGATCTTGGCAGGGAAGGTTATATTCACCGGGTATCACCGGTCTCACCTTCCATGCCGTGCAAACATACTCCGAGAACTAGTCGGTTGAATATCTTGCGATCTCTACGAAGCAGGAAGGTGTAAGTACCGTGTTAGTCTTTGGGGTTACGTCGCTGCTCGCAGAGCTAACTAATAGCCTCTTAGCCTCGGCTTAGGGAGGATCATGCTACAGGCAGCCGCACCCTCCTACGCTACCAGACTCAGACCATACACCCTTAGCCCTTGGTGCAATCCTTAAGCCACGCTCGGCCTGCAAACAACCGATCTGTTTCTACAGCCCAGACCGTGGATTAACAATAATGATCGATTGCTTTTTACTTGCTTTCCCTTTTTCCTTCTCGAAGAAAGGATCCACACGAGAGATTTATATTTAATCCTCGGACGGTGGGGGCGAATCTTTTACTAATTCGACCTATGATTTAGAATTTCAATTAATTTTCATCCTTATTTTCTGAAAAATTTCCGTCCCTAATATACCCTGATAATAACACTGGCATTTTAACTCTGATTACAAGATGTTTCTTAGAAATTGAACTCTTGTTCCATCTCGGGGAATGGAAAGCCTGCACGTGTCACTGATTAAGTCTCATTTTAATTTTCATTTTCATAAACAAGGAAACGTAATAAATTGTAACCGCGTTCGAGGCAAAGATTTTCATGCAAACCAGTGCCGCTATTGTACGAACAAATGAAGCTGTTACCGAAGGACCTCCGTACAGTTTACGTTTGCCCCGAAGGCGAAGTCAGACCGAAGGAGATTTGCCCTGTTATAGTTCAGCCAAGAGCAGACCGTTTCTACTTGTTTCGCCATCAGCGAGATCTCAACGAAAATTCGATCGCGGTTTCGTTCTGTATGCGCTTACGTATTTTTCAAATCCCTCGCGGATAACCCTCTTTTTCTTCCTTTTCTTGGATATCGCTTGCTCGTTCCCTCGGCAAATATGTACGGGTACAAATCGAAAACTCGTAAATACAGAGGAAAGCAAACGGAGATTCATTTATTCGATACAGCTACCCGTTCGTGCAATTATGTAAACATTTTTCCATATAAGTGGAAATACATGCTGGATATTTAGGTAATAAGAGACACAGATAAAGGGAATACGATCTTTGAATGTGTGCAGATGAAGTATCTGCTTTTTTTTTTTAACGTAGTCTGGCTTTGGTGAAAAACCGCTCGCGAAATCCCGATTGGGCGTGACTGGGTCTAATTTATTTAGTAGCTCAAAGGAGAGGGACAAGTTCCGGCGCGGTCGGACGTTACCGGTGCCATTGTATCGGCAGGTTTTCACCACTTTGATATATTGCCGTCCTGCCGGGTTGTTCGGACCTCCACCGCGATCCTGGCGAACTCGAATTAATTCCACGAAGAAACAACTGTCCGTTCGCGCTGTCTCGAAATTCGAGAACTCAATTTGCTGGAAATAAATTCTATCTGCCAACGAATTCTAACGCGAACGTTGGACCAAGTGGATCTCCCCTTCTTTTTCCTTTTTGTAGTTTAACGAATGAACTTTTTCGAGTCGGAATACCTGGATCGGACCGAAAGCTGCAATTCAACTAGCGGGTGGTACATGACGGCACGTTCGTACCTTCCGAATGCAAAGTGCGTACATCGAATTCGCTGCAGGTTGATTCACAGGACAAGGAGGCAATAATAGAGGAATGAGAATGCTTCGACCAATATTACGAAAGTTTCCGTAGCCGCTCTTGGACCGCTAAAGTTTAACCGATCTCCCTTTTCCGACGACGACCGACACGCGAACGGAAAAGGAAAGAGGAATGGCACTCGATGCTCGATGGAATTCAAACGCGTTTCGGATTTAAGCGATTTAAAATGGCCACTTTATGCAACACTCCGTTGCAGACGAAACTTTTGCGAAGACAAAAGCCGGCTTTCGTTGGAAAATTTCTTTCGCGATCGAGATTTCAAACGCTATCATTCGATACAGATCCTATCGTCGCTGTTTATCTTTTTATTTCTTCTCTGTAGAGGCACGTGTGTGACGTTTAATCATCGAGCATGCAATCGATTTGCAGCCAGATCGAGACCGGGCGACAGTAGACGCACCCTTCTTTGCACCCAGTCCTCGATACCCTGTAAACCTCCTAGAAATGACGAGCTTTGGCAAGGGTTGCTCGATGATGGTTAACGTTTCAACAAAACGACCATTCGTTCGTTCGATAAAAATCACGTTTCGCCACGGTTGAATTGCTTCTTCCCTTTTCCCTCGAGCATTCGCGCGATACGTGCCACTCCTACGAAGGATAAACCAGAGCTTATTTTTTTTTCACCATTCGACGAAACGAACAGTACGATTTAAAACGTGTCAGAGAAAACATCTCCCGCGGGATCAGCTGGATACGTATCGTTTAATCGTCTATCCGTGGGTGTCGGGAAAGAGCGTAGCTGTTCCAGAACGCTGTTAAAACGAGGATGCCATTTACCGAATTCTCCGTTCTCCGGCTCTTTTTATTAGGGCTATCCGAAAATGTCTACCGTTTTAAAGGCAATTCTCCTTGTTATTAAACTTTTGCATAATACGACGGTGTTCGCGTGGCAGAATTTTTTCGAATCAGCCAGCAGCATCCGAGGATATTAGATTCCGTGGACGGTGCAAAGTGGCCAGTAAAAAGGGTCCTGCTAGCATAAGCGCGGCTACGAATCCTACAAACTCGGAGCTTCGAGTCGGTAGACGTCTATGGAGATCCCGGCGACGTGTAACCACGTATGTAGAGTAACGGTGGCTGGCTGGGGTGCTCGGTAATATCTGTGGTTGGCCGTAAAGGGAGTTCGTAAACGACTGCTACGGCTTTCCTCCACCTGTATTTTGTCTCCTAGTGTGCAACGACCGGCCAGAATGTGTAGCACCTAGCTACTCCGTTGGAAAACGACGTGAAACGGAGAATGAATATAGACTTTGCTTCGTACCGTTCATACGTGCCGACGTGCCCGTCGCAAATTTTCGCGAGAAAGCCGGTTCCCTTTCGTGCTGAAACGCTTCTGAAATTGGCTACGAATGAACCGACCAACTCGTGATCGTTTAGTTCCTCTCGTGAAATCAGATATTTCTATTTCACTTGTGTAACGAATTGAAATTGAGTTGAAGTTAACGCATTCGACGGTCGATGGATATCTGATTTAAACTACGTATATTAGTTTTAATATAAGCAGATGATATTATGAAATATATATTTATCTTTCGTTCGCAGGTTCGTTATCAGCGCGAAACCATTAAAAGTTTCGCCAGCTGATACTTTTATTTATATATTCCATGGAAATTCTGAAAATAATTTATAACGAGCTTTGATATTATCAAGAGACACACTTAATCGTGAATCCTCGTAAATGTATGGCATCTTCGCGTCAGTCAGTGATTCGAGGAAACGGATTTCCTGTACGTTTACCGTGGCTTTCCGTATGCAGATGCCGCCCGTTAATTAGCTTTTCTTCACGTGTATCTCGTCCTTCCTCGATGCTCTACCAACGATCCTCTCAGCTCGGACAAGGACCCGAAGAGTCGTATAATTGACACGCGAAATTGTCTCACGTGTTTGGGCTCGGGTTCATTTACTTCTGAACTTTCGAGCGGTAGACGGAGTTTCCGGCTTCCACCGTGCGAGTTCCCGACAAACCGAATCGAACTTCTCCTAGTCGGCAAACACGCGGAGAAAAGCTCGGGACATCCAAAGTCTTAATGGATATTTTGACAGGGTAATTATCGTACAGCTGAGGAATTCGTTAAATTATTATTAATGGCTTTTGTGTTTTTCCACGTGAAAAACATTGCATACGAGCGGAGAAAAGGTAAAAGAAGCCAGCTAATTGGTATGGTAATTAAAAACATGTTATAATCGATTGATAACGCGTATGCACGTGATTTGTGGACGTGTAAAGCAGCGTAGAAAGACTAATAATGGGTTTCTCCTTCGCGTCGCGTGATTTCATTTTTAACGCAGGAAAAAGGCGGTCTTGATCGTGTCTTTTATAGAAATAAATAGTGTTTGATAAAAGTATTTGAACACTCACCATTAAATACTTCATTAATTATAATAACTATATTATACAATAGTTACAGAAATATTATTAAAATTATGACTCTCTAAATTATTCAGGTCAAGTCTCTTATGAAGTATTTTTTACAAACATAAACCTCGCTGATGCCACAAAAGAATTAGAACACACAGAAGCGAGCTCTGAGAATCAATGAAATCAAAGTTTTTCAAACAGTGAATGTAAACATTCACCGTTCTTAGCTGTTCTACTCGGGTCAATCGTAGTGAAAGTCGAGCAGGCATTCGCGATGAAATATTCTATTGAACAGGTGTCTCAAAGCATCTGAAATTTCTAAAAGTGAAAGAAAATTAATTGTGAAGTGACGTAACGAAGGAAAGACGTATGGCGAAGTAAGTAAATTATTAAATCTAAATAGATATATAATAATACATTATATTCTTAAACGATCGAAATCTGAGGGATTGGGAAAAGTACCATCAAATTGTAACTACCGTTGTAAAATACGATGTTCCGGCCCGTTAAGCCGGATTACGATATCTGGTAATTACCTGTTTTAATTGCGACCTGTAACCGCTGTTATCCGCAGATACGTACCGCGGTATGGCGCATTGGCCTAACGTTTAAAACCGAGATTTTCTCCGAAGATTATAAGCAATTACGTAATTCCGCACTTAACTTTATAGCTGAAATATCAAGAGCAACTGGAGCAGCTTCTTTCCGCGGCAAAAAACTGAAGAACCGAAGAGTTGTAAAGGCACAGAATTGAGGTACAGGTAAATAACAATTGAGGTACAATTACGCAAGGTGTTTAATGAAAATGATCGTCAAGGAAGTGAGTGTTAACTATAAACATCTGAAAAACCTAATAACGCGTTAATAGACTGCATTTTTAAAAAATCGAATTTCAAAAAGTGCAGTTAGTTATATAGCAAAGTTAATCAGTAAAACCTAATTAGAACATTCATATCTGAATAATACCGTCTAGACGTTCGCGATTATCGTACAAACAAAACAAGACATTACGTATTCTTTACTCTCATTTGCATGAATGATTAGTTTCCGAGTTTTACGAGTGCATGACAGAACGCAATTAATGGCATTATTCATTACCACGTTGCAAGAGAAACCACTAGTCAAGACCAATTAAGAAAATAGTATTCTAAGAATAAGTTACATTTCAAAGCGTTGCTAAACGCGTGTTTGCATAACCCGCGAAAAGAAAGTAAAACAATCACGCCCTCTATGCCGAAAATAGTCAAAGTCGAGGCGCGCTCAAAGCGGGTTCCATGTGAAATCACGTCGCGCAACGATGTTGTTATCTCAAAGAAATTCGAAGATAAATACAAGCACGGCCTGTAGAGCCAGGGACCGATGGAAACCGGTAGTATCATCGCGACTCTCCGTCTGTAAACACGGTCGCGTGTACGAGCGAGGTAATACCAACGGTTAGAGGTTACATCAGTCGGGACGCGAGTTTCACACGAGCTGAAACGAATCGTTGGCATTGCTGGACTATCGGTAAATCGTTATCGCGCAACGAGCCTTGATAGAAAGTAAAAGTCTCGTTACGATCAATCTGGTTCTTCGATTCCTTCGCGCGACTCCGTTTCTTTTTTACTGTTCGCGCGACCGCGAACCGAGTACCGGCTCGGTGGCTAGCGTGTCGTTCGTGTTTGTCGGTGTGTTTGTGTGCTGGTGTGCGTGGGACGGTATACAGTGCGCGTGCCACTCGTCTCTTCTCGACAGAACGACATGACGGCGGAACATGAAAGCGATACGAGGGTGAGGTTAAGGAGGACGAAAAGTGTGACCAGGGCCGAGGAAATCCAGAAAGCCGAGATGATGGCGCGGAAATCGCAGCCGGACAAACCGTAAGTCTTTCTAACTGTACCCAATCCTAGTGATACCCATTTCTCGACCACTAATTACGTACGATTTCTTTCGTTTTATTCGCGATTTCCACTGTGCTGTTTGTCTCATTATTGCTCGAGAGTATCGTAACCGAGAAACAATGACGAAACGCGTTGCAAGTCGACGAAAACGCGATTGGAACGAAAGAAATTTTCTGGCTGCTCCACAACGAGCGGACGTAACATAGCCGACTTTATAAGGCAAAGCGCATGCGTGTCTCGCTTTAGATCGAGCGCAAACGTGAGCACGTGATAACCCCTTCTTTCAACGATCCACTTCCCTTCTCGTTTTAACATACGATCACCCGCGCCGTTCTCGTCGAGTCCCCGTGATCAATGCGGAGGTCAGTCGGTAGTGTCGTGCTCTTGGATTCGCTATAGATCGTTTCATAACACTTTCCTAGATCATACTCTACTAATCCATTGAATTACTCATTATTTTTAAAATGGTGATTGGTAACACTGATCTTTTGGTGTAGAACTGATAGGAGATATAGAATGTAGAATTGGCGCCAAATTTAAGTTAATTCTATATACCATAGAAGGGATTTAGTATAAGAAACATAATGACTATGATATTACTTTGTTATCTAAATGTTTTCAAGTTTCGCTAATGTCATTCTGATTATTTAAAACACTTAAGATTCCATCATTGAAATAAAAGATAGACAGGGTTAAGGTCCACCTTGGGTCTTAGTCACTATCCAACTTTTATAACAGATAAAAGTATCATACATTTGTATTGTTAGCACGGAATAAAGTCATCATTCTTTGGAACGCTGTACGTACACAGGCAGGAAGTAATGAAATTTTTTTTTTTATTTTGACACCTGGCTAGTATGCCCGCAAGAATACAACTTTTAATAAAATAGAGTTACCTGGCGAACGCGCGATAAAGTGTAGGATTGGTTATATAGAAACGAGCGACGCTATGACCAATATTTACTCTGGCATGAAGTACCCCGTTCAGGATGCTAAAGGTGCGAATGAATGGCGCAAAGTTCATTCAGAAGAATGGCCACAGGCAACAGACAATCGAATGCAACTCGAGTGCTCGTCGCGGAAACGAAAACTTTCTTAACGAGCCGTTCGCCGTTTCTAATGGAACGGCACGTCAAGAAAACACGGCTAGATAATTCGTTCGCAGCGATAGTACAATTATTGAATTTCATTCTATTCCTTCGCGGCAATGTCATGGAGAAAGTTATCTCGATGCGGGACTCGCGATAACGCGACACTGATAATCAGGATTCTCGCTTAAAAACAATAGGATCGTCGACCAAAGTTTCGTTTGAATGTTCACTCAAACTTAAGATGGACATTTCGAATAAAGAACGACGGTTCGGATTGAATTTATTTATTCTTCGGTACGATTTGCATCGTAGCAAGTAAATTATAAGGGGTGTTGATATTCGAAGGACTTAGCCTCGAAGAAAACATCGTTTCATCATTTTCAGTGAAGGATAGTAGTAAATTACAGAGTATTTAATAACACACCACGTTCGCAGTAAATATCACACGCCATTTGATGATTCAGCACGCTCAATATACAGTTTCGCATCTGCGATTATTCATAATTAAGAAATAAAAAGAATTTATTTGCCTTGATTGTATAATATTTGTTTGTTACTTATTCTGCGTGTATCCTTCTGATACTTTAATGTACGTTTACGAGGCGGCTGGTATATCGTGGATTAGCAGTGAAAGCAGAGAAAGCAGAGAACACTGCGACGCGAACTTACAGGCCGTTAATAATCCTGAAATAATGCTCGCTTTTCTTTGCACAGAAGATTATATGTACACGGAATTCTATCATGTTTAGCCGATAACGTTGTTAGTTTATGCGCTGAATCGTCTTAAGATATATTTGCACGCTATTAGATTAGAGTTTACTGATATATAAATAGCAGTACATCAAGCTTAATCGCGACTTTGTTCCGTTACACAAACGGAAAGTTGCCCATGTGCAAAGTTGACAGTTTTATTGCAACCTGCATTCACGTAATTTTATCGGTTACTTAATTCGCCATTAACGTAACGGGTGTCGATTGGAAAATTCTTTATCAATTATGTACGTCCCGTTTCATTACGGCAATCAAGGCGTTAAATTTGCAGAAATTACCCGAACGAGGTTTAAAAAAAAACAGAACCGGTGAGTTGTTACTAAAGAATGCATAATACCAAGTGTACTCGGCATTCTGCATGCCAATGACGTTTTTGTCAATAGTTTATGTAACGCGCACCGATACTCGACGTGCATTTCACATCTTATGGAGGATCGTTGTCACGCGAAATCTCAGAATAAATCCCATAGCAGGCCGTTTTAATAAACGGGAACAAAAGGTTGTTGACGTGGAACAACGACTACGGAGGGGCTCTCGTTTGTTATCAATTGTTGCGAGGCTCGTTGCGGTGTGCGTTCGCCAACGGATTCTATTAATTAACCGATCAAAAACCACGCACACGGCCGAGGCCAAAGAGGCATGCTTTGAGTAACGCCGATCGAAACAACGCTGGTTGCGTATTCTCTTTGTCATAATTACAGAATGATTCCCTTAGCCAGAGCAAAGCAAAACACATACCGACCTCCCGGTGTAATTAACGATTCCTCTGTCTTTCCTCATTCGCGAAACCTTGCGTAATTAGCTCGTTTTTTTTCCTCTTCGCGCTTTGTGATTATCGTGAAACGAATTACTCGACCAGCCTTTGAATTACAATCGTTCACGTAACGCGATGTTCGAAGTTCAAGGTGGTACATTGACGTCCACGAATATTGGGACATTATCGCACGAGTGCACGAACGAAATCATCGAATAATTTTAACCAACATCTTAATTTAAGCAAATCTCCACCGTAATGTGGAGTAATTAAAACGTGGCCTTTATTCATGAACGTGGTCGCGTCTGATTAGTTCAATCACCTCTCGACATCGCTCCGTCGTCATTCTTCCATTTTTTCCGGCGCCTTGCGAAATCGCTGACGGGTGCTGAGTCACATGGGTGGCCGGCGTGTTTGCCGCAGCGTGTCCTTAATTAAAATGTTAATTTCAGTGACGAGGCAGGAATCCCGATGGTTAGAACCGCGGGTAGATTAGCGCGATAACAGAACACATCGCGAGAAGGGGGGGAATATTTGCGGTGATTCGTACGCGTTTCGCGACGGATGAAGCATCATAAATTCATGATTGGTTTACGGCATATCCAATTCGAAGCGCACTGATCCCGCGTTGCAATCGGAATCGCTAATCAAAGAATGCTCGGTCGTTCGCGAAAGTACCGGGTAAAAGCTAACTCGCGTTAATATTTCTCCGTAAACAAAAAGGAGATCGGAAGCAAGAACCGGACGGGGGGCAAATTCTATTTGTCCAGATTTATGAACTTCCTCCCAGCTTTAATATCCATCCAGCGGCGAAGAGGAAAAAAAAAAATTTAATCAAGTTTCCCCACTATTTCCATCGCCGGTTTAATCGGGCGTACGATCAAGAATTAATGTCTCAAAAACGGGATTAAATCTGGAACATTACGGTAAAGTGAAACGCGTGTTCGGTTTTTGGTTTTCAACGAGAATCGTCGAATTTACAATTGATCGCGGTTAGACTGTTTCAAGACGCTATTCGCAGTAGCGTTTTGAGAGAAGAAATACGGAAGCACGGTAAACGTTAATTAGCGAGAGGGGACGAAACTACTCGGAGCAGAGTAGATGATACCCGGTGATGCTTCATTTCAGAACATATCCCCCCAACGAGCTTCGTTTTATTAGCGAAAACTTGACTAGCTAGGCAAAGAAAAAAAAAGGAAAAAAGTAACAGCGAAATCTTTTTCCACCTTTGACATGCTATAATGACCTGCAAACAAGAGTTCCTTTTTTTTTTTCTTTTCCACTCTTCAGGAGGGAACACTTTTCTACCTTCGGTTGTTTCTTCTCCTATCCCCTTCTATCTTCGCACCCCTTCGCACCCCTTCGCGCTTTCTTGCCTCGGGATCGTCCATTATGCCGTAGAATCAGAGATGGCACCACTCCTTCGCCTCTTAAACAAACGAACCCTCTACTGTATTTACTCGTTCCGTGTTTGCCAGATACTTCTTGTTTTCGCCAACTTTGCAATTAGACGCGGGGCCCCCGGGTTCGTTGGACGCGTTGAATATCGAATGATCTCTACCCCTTTGGTCGGATGTAGCCGCGCGGAAAGCTACGTCTGGCTCGTACCTACGATCTTTCAATCACGGATTGATTTTAAAGTTCCCGTTTGCGCGATCCTTCGACTGGAAGCAACGCCGGCTACGTTGTGTTCGTTTCCCAAATCGAATCTACTTCACGACGGCTTCCATTCAGTGGGAACAAATTAAATCCGGCCAGAATGGTGGATCGTATTCGCGACGCAACAATGCTCATCTTGAGTTCAAGCTCGGTTCCCTCGATAACATTATCCGTAATTATAGATGGACAATGGTGAGGAATGTCGTTAACGTCCAATACGAAACAGTTTCCGATAGCTCTGTCATAGACTGAAATGACGTACTACTAGTGAAGGGCAATCATTGGGTAATATGGAATCGAACGAGAGACGGATAACAATGATACCCAGGCTATTTTTCTTTTTCATTTTTTTTATTCTTCTTCCTATATATCGATCCTTTCTCGAGCTTTATTCTCTCCGTTCCGACTGCCTCTATCGCTCTACCCCCGCGATTTATCTTCGTCTCTATATCGCGCCAATATTTCCGCGATACCGCTAACTGCCAAGCTGCTCTCGTGTTGCCGGGATTGATATTCGAATTGCTAATAACTTCGGACGTTGTTTTATGCGAAAGAATACAGGAAGTTGAAGCAGAGCAAATTGATAAATCATCTCGCAAGACTTGCTTCCCCGCCTTTTCCGCAACGAATGCAAATAATCTTGCAGCGTTACGATATTAAACCGTTCGTCGAAGGTAGAAGCTATTTTCTTGAGGATATCAGTT